AAAATCATTATAGTCCTCCTCCCGAGGTTCGCAAGTAATAAGCACGCTATGCACCCTGCAAGGCCAGAAGAGCGGCATGGGTTTGATAAATAGCCGTGTCCGCCCAAGCTTTAAACAGATGTCCGTAAATACTGTGGAAAAGAAGCCCCAGAAAGTTGGTGGGCAGCACTCAAGAGTGGCCTCCCTGCTTTTGCTGGCAAACAAGCAGCAGCTGTCTGTCTCCCTTCCGTGGAGGACCAGCCTGCTGTCGGGATTTATGGTTCCTTTGTTTTGCTGGTGACCGTAGTAACCATCATGGCTTCCTCTAGGGCGCTGGTTATCAGTGGGAGGTGATTCTGCTTGCACTCCTTGGCCCACCTGGGGACATCTGACAGTGTCTGGAGGCATTTTTTTCACAGCCACAGCTGGCTGGGTGCTACTGGCATCTCAAGGGTAGAGGCCAGGGATGCTGCTAATCTTCCTACAGTGCATAGGGCAGACCCCGCCCCCCACAAGGAATTAGTCCAAAATACCCATCATGCCCTGTGAGAAATTGTGACCTTTTTTTGAGAAACCCTCTCTCAAAGAATAATATCTTATTAATTGACTGTCTGATTGATTGTTTTGGTTTGTGAGACAGGGTCTCCCTGTGTAACCCAGGCTGGCCTTGAACTCCTGATCCTCCTCCCACAGCCTCCCAAGAGTTGGGATTAGAGGTGTGCACCACCACATCCAGCTTCTAGTATCTTCTTCAAGTAAAGTTGTACATTCATTCTCTTTTCATTCATTCATTCATTCCACAAATAGTTATCCTTAAACCTAGAATGTATCCAACTAGTCATATTCCCATGCTGATGGGCACATTAATTCACTCATGTAATAGGAACGTAGAGAGTGTCTGCCCAGTGACAGGTACTGGGGTCTGGCACAGCCCCGTGCAGGTCCTTCCTCGTCAGGCTTTGTGTTCTGGTGGGAGGGAGGGAGGCAAGAGTCTACAGACATCAATAAACAAAGAACAAGACAATTTCAAGCAGTGATAAGTACAGTGGTGAGTATCAACCGGGCGAAAGGAAAGAGAGTGACCAAGGAGAAAAGGCTCCTTTTAAAAAGTGGAGGTAGGAAAGGCTTCTCTGAATAGGTCGTGTGTGTGCGTGTGTGTGTGTGTGTGTGTGTGTGCGTGCACACGCGCTCGTGCATCCTTGAGGTACTGGCCTTGAAGCCAGGGTTTCTACACAAAGCTACAACCCCAGACCTTTTCGAAATTTTTAATTTTGAGACAGGGTCTCACTAAGTTGTTAAGTTGCCCAGGGTGGGCTTGAACTTGGAATTGTCCTGCCTCAGCTTTCCAATAGGTTATATTGAAGCTGAGACATGAGTAATGAAAAGAAGGCAGATTGGCAAAAATTAGGAAGAGGAGTGTTCAACACAGAGGAGCAGCTTGTTAAGAGACTTGAGACAGGAAAGGCATGGGTGGGTTCAAGGCCAAGAACCCTACATGGCTTGGAAGGATGGGGAGGTGAAAAAGTGATTGTGTTGGGGTGGGGGTGGGAGTCACACAGGCCAGAACCTAATGGACCTGGGTAAGGTTCATGGGGGGACAGGAAGCCTGGTGGAGCATGGTCTGGGTTAGGTATTGCTGAGTCCACTCAGATAGCCCTGGTGAAGGGCCACGTGGAAGCGCAGGACCTGTCAGGAGCAAATGCAACTCCTATACTAACACTGAGTGGAGGTGGGAGGATGCGGGTGGATTCCAGGTAACGTCCCAGACTTCCCGTCACATGGTCCATGGCTCAGCCAAGCACTCTGAAGCCTCAGGTTTCCTGCTGCAGTCAGTGCTGGCCCTGGGCCCTCTGCTGGGGACCATTGGTGGGCTCCGCCCTCCAGCCAGTCTGGACCCAAGTGCAGCCTGCACAGAGCAACGTGTCCCCCAGCAGAGAGTGCTGTGATGAACTCCACTCAGGCACTCCCAGAGGACAGCCACATTGGCCTGCTGTGAGGACCCTGGGCTGTATTCCCTGTGCCTTTCCTGTTCCCTAGTTGGACCAAGGTCTTCCTTGAATATTTGACTTCTGTAATTGCCCAGAGCCCTCCCTAGCTATGCCAGCCTCTCCCTGGTGGAGAATGCCCTTGGGACCAGGCCATGGCGCCTCCTGACCCTGCCTCTCTTCCAGCCTCCTATGGTCCTGAGAGTACAACTCAGATTCCCTTCCTTGCTGAGCTAGCCAGGCTGCGTGGATACCATCCCCTCCTGGCTCACCTCAAGACACCCCAAGTTCACCAAGATGGTCTTTCCTTGGCTGGTGAGGGTCTTATTGCCTAAAATCCTTTTCCCACAGGTTTCTGCCTTCTTCATGTCTCAGTTCAAAGGACATTTCTCCAAGAAACCCTTGTTCTTCAGAGTTACTCTGCAGCAGTGGATATTATACCACCCAAAACCACCCCAAAGAGGCAGAAACTGGTTTTGGGGGGATAAAAAATGTCTTATTTTGAATATATAAAGCACGGTACGCATGCAGAACACACATACACAGTATTACAATTTCATGAAGGGGTTGATAAGGAAAAAAAAAACATCTAAAAAGGCTCCTAATGGATGCATCAATGGATAAAGGTTAAGAAATTGTGCTCTGTGGGAAGTGAGTCTCCCCACTCTACCCGGTTTCCAATATATATCCTAATTTAGCTCCTCCCAAGAACTTACTACAGTTGGCAATATGTCAACCTGCATCCCCCCCTTCCTCTGAACAAAAGTTCCAGGGAGCCCAGGGGTCTTAGCCATCTATTTACCACTGTATCTTCAGCATCTGTATAGTACTGGGTACATAGTAGTCACTTGATAAATATTTGGGGATTCCATTACCATGGTAATAGGAGGAATGATTTCAAATACAAGAAATAAGAACCCAGTGGGCCACCTGGACCCTCTCTTAGATTTCAATCCTAATTAGACACTAACAGGCTTGAAGGGTTCTTTGAGTATAAGCATAAGTCCCTTCTCTTGCCCCATGTATGAGTTCATCTTTTCGTCCTAGTCTATACTACTTCCTCTTTCTCTCCTCTCTGTCTCTCTTCCCTGCTTCCATGGACCCCCGCTCTTCACTATTCCACTGGGATGCCACAATGAACCATGTGGATGCTTGACTCATTCAATTAAAAACATTTTCAGGAAAACTGTAACAAGAGGCTAACCATCTTGGCAATTACACTGCAGAAAGGGAAGATTCATGTCTGATTCGATTTAGCAATAAATTGAATCACAGCAAGCATCCGCAGGAGAAAAAAAGACTAGAAGGAAGCAAACCAAATGCTAATGACATTATCCCTTTCTGGAATGTAGATGTGCTATTTATTCTCTCCTCATATTTCTGGTTAACTCAAGAGTTTCCTGTAATGAGTGTATATTTCTTGTATCATAAGAAACGTGGTTTTGGATTGGCTGCGTTTTTAAAGACCATCTCTGATACTTCAGGGCCAAAGAGACATACACAGACACCATCCTGGTCCACAGATCCAGGGCCGATTGTATCAGGTTACGCAGTTATTCAGCCAAAACCCTTCTGGGAGGATTCCATTGTTGGAGGAGCCACTGGATTTGTGCAATTTAATCTATCAGGCAAATAGCAACAGCTTCTCCCTAGGACCACACTCCCTATCTCTCCCATAAAACTTCGTGTTTGCGACATCTTTTACAGGTGCCAGAGGCTCCCAAAAGTAAAAGAAAGAAGTCCTCCTACCATAAGGGACCTCACCCATGGAAAATGTAAAACAAATAAATACATATTACACATATTTAAAAATGTTTTTTAGATTCCACCTGTGAGAGACAATGGGATATTCTTCTTTCTGAGTTTGGCTTATTTCATTTAACACTGTGGCCTTGAGTTAAATCCATTTTCCAGGAAATGACATGATTTTGTTCTTCTTCATGGCTGAGTAATATCCCATTGTATCAATATACCACATTTCTTTATCCATTCATCTGTTGACCAGCATCAACCACTCATCTGAATTTTCCTGCAATAAACATGGGTACGCAAGTATCTCTGTAGCATGCTAAATTTAGTTCTTTTGGGAATATACCAAGGAGTGGTGTAGCTGGATCAACTGGTATCTTTATTTTTAGTTATTTGAGGAGTCTCCATGCCGATTTGCATAATGCCTGTACTAGTTTACATTACCACCAACAGTGTAGTAGGTTCCTTTTTCCCAACTAGAAGAGGAAAGAGTAAAGAGGAGGGATCAGGAGCGGGGGAGGGATGAAAGGAGAAGGGCAGTCATGGGGGTGGAAATCAAGGATGCTATAGGCACATGTGAACAGAAAACAATTATTCTGTACAGCTAATATACACTAATAAAGTACAAAATGACATAAGAAAGAAGCTTTTAGGGGTCTCACGGCACCCAAAGTCAAGGTTGTGGAAGCCCAACTTAGAAAGTTTCTTAGGAAAATGTCTCTTGGAACCCAGACCACATCCTTCATTTGTCCTCCAAGAAGTCACTGCGATGGGTGCCCGTGTCATCCTGCCTGGGTACTGAAGGATCTTCTAGGCCACGCCCCCCACAAGTACCTTGGGGACCCACAGAACCAGCTAATGCTTCCGCATCCTTGAAGGCAACATTGAGTTTTCTTAATTTTTCATGATCAAGGAATGCTTTCAAACACCAGAACTTTTAGCAGCTCCATTAACAAAAACACTCAATCCAACACCAGACCCAACAATCCAGCAAGAATCACAATATCCATTGCAGTAGCTGACAGCATCTCACAGGGCTCTGGGCACCAGCTCAGCACAACACAAAGCATTTCAGCTCAGGGCTATTGTCAGCCCTGGCCTTGGTCTTTTATACACTCACAGAGTGATGGCATCCCTGACAAGCCCCACCCAATGGGACAGTGACCGTTAGGACCCACACTTAAAATGAACTCAGAGAAAAGACATTAGTTCGAGACTGTACCTGGCGCCCACACCTGCATGGGCTAAGAGAAGCAGTCGCCTGGGGTGGGAAAACTGCACTCTTACCTCCTCCAGGGCCCACAAGGAGTCCACCACGGGCTTGATGTTCTTCTGGTTGTAGAGCCCTATAAGTTTGTCCACCACTCCTCGAATGAGGCCCGCGCGGCCCTGTTTGAAGAGCAGGTTTAAGAGGGAAAACCCCGCGATGACTTTGTTCTCTTCGTACAGCTTGATGGGGTTCACTTTCTCCACCTGCCACCACTGGAAGGAGAGACGGTGCTGGTTACAGGTGCCACACTGGGTCAGATCAGAGGCATTGCCATTGTCCTGGGCTTTGCAAAGGGGACAGGGGGCAGAGCTGGGCAAATTTCAGCTGGCCTAAGGCAGCTCTTGGTGTTTTACTTTTTAAGAATCCATCTTGCTAGGCATCGTTACAGTGCATGGATGACAAGACAGAGATGCTTATACGAAGTACAGGATGGAGGTAGGGGACAGAGCCCAAAACCAAGTATCCCTAACCCCTAAATCCACAATGTTCCAAAATCTGAAACTTTTTGAGTATCAACATGATGCCACAGAAGAAATTCTGCTGTCAAATTGCACATATACTGAAAATATTGTATAAAATTACCTTTAGGCTTATGTGGATAAAATGTACCTGACACTAACATGAATTCCATGTCTAGACTTGGATCTTAACCACCAAGGCACCTCATTATGTATGTACAAATATCGAAAAACTTAAAAAATCCAAAGTCCAAAACAATTCTGGCCCCAAGCATTTTGGATAAGGGTTATTCAATCTGTACCAGGCCATATGCAGTTGGAACATTAGGCATATGTTTCAGCCCATCCACTCTGGAGTTGAATCTCGGCTTGACAATTTACTCTCTGGTATTATTTCTCTCTCTGCTTTGTTTTCCTCAACTGACCGCAGTGATAGAACACAGCTTCTTATGTCTTCTGGGAGAACAAAGTGTAAAAGATTCATCTTAGTCAATGGTGATGGTGAGGATGGGGTTGGCGAAGGAAGCAGGATGCAGAGAAGTTTGTAAGTGCTGGGGGGGTTGGTGGAGGTGACCTCATGATTGCAGGAGCAGATTTCCTGAGAGAGGAAAATGCGAAGAGCTTCCCTGGGTCACTGGGTTGCCCGAGTTGAACTGTGTAAAGAGGAATCGTCTTGGGCCATATATATATATATATATTATATATATAATATAGTTAATGTACCTAAGCAACAAACTTCCTTTATTTTAAAATATTTTTATTATAACTTAAAAAAAAGAAAAGAGCAAGCAGCTCCTGGGCTGCAGGTTGGACACACTTGGACCTGGACAGATACGTAGGACCCCTGGGTAGGAAGAGCACAGGAGGGTGACTTAGGAAGAAGAAGGAGGAGCAGTGAAGCCCAAGTGTTGGGGCTAAGCCGTGCTTCTTGACTGGGGGCAGCTGTACCCCCAGAGGACCTGGTGATGCCGGGGGACAATTCCCGTTGTGATTCTAGGGAGGAGAGGTGCTGCGGTACCCTGCCCATAGAAGCCAGGGATGTGCTGAACATCCAACAGTGCCCAGGATGGTCTGCATGACAAGGAACAGCCCAGCCCCAAATACAGACAGCACCAAAGCTGAGAAACCACTGACCAAAGCCTGAGGAGGGGTCTGCACCACTGGTCCATGTGGCGGCTCTATTTCCAGTCTCTCATCTCCTGCTTCAGACAACAAAATAAACCCATGCCTGCAGAAATGGTTATCGGACTGCTTTGTGCTGACTTTTCCTCTCGGGCTGGCTACAGGTTAGACATCCAGACTTCCAGTTTCTGGGGGGTTCTAACAGGTGACATGTTTACTATCAGTTTCCAATGCAAAGAGGAATGTGAGGGTCGCTTAGGAAGAGTTATATTATTTAGGTTATTAATATGCTTATTGTATTCTGCCTCTTTCCAAAAAGAATTGAAGAGGCCCATAAAAGTAAAAAAAAAAACTTTTTTTTTTCATTGAGGAAGTCATGTTGGGGAGACAAGTACGGAAAGATAGGTTGAAAACAAGGATGAGTTCACGCAAAAAATGCCTTACCAAAATACATTCGGCAAGGGTGCATGGGAAGAGGGCAGTTCAAAAGAAGCCATGCGTTTGCCCATGAGATTCTTGCTATAAAGCAAAGGTGGAAAGATGACTAATAACTTGATTTGTGGCTTGTGTGCAATGCCTTAGTGAATATTTGTGGAATAAATCCTTGCTAGATCTGCAACTCTTGCATACTGGCGGTGAACAGAATTCTAGAGCTGGTGCCGTTGACCTGCTGTGTGGCTTTAGGCAAGTAACATAACCTCTCTGTGCTCACTTTCCTCTCGTGCATCTTGGGGTTATTGCGAGTAGCAAATGTGTTCATGTCTATATTGCTTAGACCAGTGTCTGATGTGCTAGGTACTCTATAGACAATTTTCATTATCTCAATTTGAAAGGGGCGTTTTTGATTTAGTGAATAAGAGCCCAAATCTGGAGTAAGACTGCTCTCTAAATGTGAGCCTCATCTGTTTGTCTCATCATTCTTACGGCCTGAAAGCAAATGTTTAACAGAGTGCAGCAAAAGCTTGCAGCAACACAGAGGGACCACAAGGAAGATGGTGAGTGAGAAATTCGCGTGATTCCAAATGTGCTTTTCATGAGTGGATAGAGAAGAATTTGTTTCTAGAACCCTTCAGAGCAGAGCCATCTTTCTGTGCCTTGGCAATGCCCTCTCTTCAATTCATTTCTAACCCACTGGGAAAAAGCCTTCATCCGGGACCTCCAGCTACCAAGCATAAGGGGCACCCCTGGTTTGGGCAGTGAATGGTTTCGGCATCTCCCTCCGGGCTGTGTTTTATGAATGCCTTCACGAATATGGCATGCTGCAATTATTTCATTAGCGGTGTGTGCTGGGATCATGCATTTAGGGGAGAAAGGGAAACGTTTCTTACAATTGTACATAATTTGGATATCCACGCAGGCTGGCAGCAGCACATTAATGGCATCCCGGCATGTACAGCTGTTCGTGGCATAGCGCCTGGCTTTCAGGACCTGAAGGGGGCATCCTTGCATACGCTCCACTCTTGCGCCTCCTGTAGACCCTTTAATACTCAAGACCCTTGACGCAGACTTCAGTGCAAAAAGAGACCCTTAGATTTACTCTCACAGGTCCAGGAAGTAGTCTTCTAGCCATCAGGAATGGCTGCCAGCACTGGCGTTTAGGGAGCATATGAATGGCCCACCATGCCACACCTACCATGGGGTCTAATCCTCCTACGGCTTAGCCTGACCATTCAATTCCAAAGGCCTCTGTTACATTCTGCTATTTTCTAGTGCAGCACCTGTTTCTCTCCCCTCCTGAGGGTTGGCAGCCATTTACATCGTGTTATTAATATGTCTTCCTTCTGTTCAGTTTGTGTCTCTCATTAGAATGTAAAAGCCACATGGGCCCACACACACCACCTCATTCACTGTGAGACCTCATTGCCTGGGGCAGCACCACAAATAGTAGGTGCTTAGAAAATGCTTCCGAAGAGAGAGATACACCTATTGCTGTACTGGCTGCACCAGAGGCTGAGAGCAGAGTGGACAAAGGCCAGCCCTTGTGAGAAGCAGCAGTCTTTGCTGTGGGGTGGGGTGGAAATAAAATATGTAAGCCCAGATTAATTTAACTCTAGCATGAATAGCTCGAGATGGGAATTTACATCTGAGTAGATGCATAGTGCGGCAAATGCCCAGAGATAAGGCTTCTCATTGGCAGACAAAGTGATCACATACGCAGAGCTGGTTAAAGTAGTGGGGTTCCCCAGGTGCAGCTCCAACTCAGTCAGATGGGGACACAGAGAAATCTCAGGAGTCCCCAGAGACCTGGTCAGAAAGTGGCCAAACTGAAAGGCTGGCCACCATACGGGGCAAATAAAATGCACTATCGCTAAGATCATTTGTGACTCATGATTAAAAACACTAACACCCAGTCGCAGTAGAAATCAAAATGAAGCTTTCTCGGGTTTCACTGTACTCCCGGCTATAGCTCAGGTCCTGGCTCTGCCCGGTGCCAGGCTTTGGGCTACACTGACAATGAATGATGCAGACTGCCAACAAGCAACATTAGGTCAGTGGAAGGAGGGCACACGGCATGCGGATAGCATAGCGCCTTGGACACGGAGGACACTTACTGATCTCGCAAAGCTGAAGAAGCTCTTCGTTTCTCCAGTCACCATGTTGGATGAGCCTGCAAATCAAAGATTCCCAAATCAAGCAGCTGCCAACGATAATCAACATCACTTGGTGACAAAGATGCATTTGGTGCCGAACTTCCAAAAGCTTAAAAGCAAATTGAATTCCTTGAGAAAAATGAGGGAAATGGGAGCAAGGCATCAAATTGACCATTTTAGCTGGATGTCATTGGTTCACAGAGGAGGTGACATCTGTCGTCATGACTGTTTCATTACTTTAGAAAACTGGGCATGCAGGAAAGGGTGATTTAGGCCAATATTTTAATGAAATGGTGGGTTGCTGAAATGTCTTCTTGGTTCTGTTCTGTGAAACTGAGAAATGAACTCCTCTGGGAACCTACTTTATGGATCTGAGTTCGATTCCCAGGCAAGCGAGAGACTTGGAGCTCTGATCTAAGCTGGACACTTAAGTGATGGGGGAGGCGGAAGGGAGTTGGATGGATGAAAAATGAGGTACAGAAAAAGGCACATGAGGGTAGAAATAGGGTCAGAAGTCGCGAGGTTTGGGGAGAGAAGTGAGAGTCACTTGTGTTATATGTATGAGAAACTGGGTTTTGCTAATTAGAACAAGCAATTTTCCCGGGGCAGACAGGAAGTGGAGTTGAGAAAGAGTCCCTGAGATACTCAGAGAGAGAGAGAGAGAAAAGACTCCTTTTGGGGATTGGTAAGGTGGGAGGATGAGAGGATTTTTAACAATATTGCGAACATTCAGATACCATATTGAAGCCTTTTCAATGATTTTCCTGGCTTGTTCCCGAGGATTCGAGAGTAAGGTCTTAAAGAACAGTTATTTAAGGAAACAACAATGCATGTTTTAAATTTAATTATTTGGCCTAGTTAAACTGGTAGCAAGTTAGCTAACCACTGCTTCCACTTTTATGGTGTGACTGTCACCGGGCATTAGAGTACAAGGCTTCTATTATGGAGAAACCAAGAAATCAATGTCATGAATTAGATAATTGTGAGACAATTAAGTCAAATTTCACCAAAATGACATCATGGAACTGGGGCAAAAAATAACTCCTGGCAAATGAGAATTAATGATGAACAAATTGTCCACCTGCAGTTCATTAGTCATATCCCATATCCTTACAAAGTCCTCTCACTTCTACTGGATCTCTTGTCAATAATGATAATAGTAATAATAATAATAACAACGATAAAATAATTATGGCCACAATAGAAATTATCACAACACTCCAGCAACGGGTGTTTACTCACCTCTGGGGAGCTCCACTCTTTTTGTTTTAATGATCTCATGATGCCAAAAAGATATTTACACCCCTGAAATATTTCTTTTATAAGCTCTTCAGCTAGTAGCAGAAAATGAGTATTTTTTCCTGAGATACCCAGAGGTAAGGCTCAATTTCTATTATACCTACAGGGCACAGAGTAGCCGAGGATCTCAGATTTCATCACTCCAGTATCATTTTGCTTTGGAAAAATGACAACTGGCTTCATACATGCCTTTTCGACCTTGTGGAGGCTGACGTTGAAATGAGCTTACGCGCGAGAGATAGAGAAGAAAGAGAAGAGGAAGGGGGATGCTGTAGGTCTCATTTTCTTGGGGGAGAACTTGCTTCCAGGTGCTTTCATAAACCTCCTGCACACTTGAGAGCAGAGACATGGATGCAGAGGCAGGGCAGCCGGGGTAGACCAGTGCGCCATCCAAGCCAGGCAGACCTTGGTGGGACATTCAAGACAGGACTAGAGGAAGGAGAACTGGGCTCTGCCGGTTCATGACCAATGGTGAAGAATCCCTCGGGGCCTCCCACCTCCTACCCATCCTCCTCCATCCTACTGTGCATCCTTTATGTCTTCAGTTCCTGAACGTCTCTTGTAGCCACTGGTATTTCCTACCTGTTCCACCCACTATGGGTCAAACTTATTTAATTTTTCTACTCCTCTCAATCATTATATTGGCTCAGCCTTGACACAGCCTTTTTAAAAATGATAGGATATCAGGCAATATGCACCTGAACTATTTTGATAATGAAAACAACTAACAGGAATATTAATATGTTAAAAATGTTTTGAAATTACCCCTCCATGCACACAATCCCACTAGCCCGGCATATCAGCACAATACACCTTCCCAACCTGTCTCTGGCACAAGCACAGTGTTTTCTGTTGCTGGCCATCTCCTTCCTGCTTTGGTGTGGCACTCACCATATAAAATGTAGGTCCCAAGGGGCTTGAGAAGACTGAGACCTTTCCCAGTGTTGTCCCCACACAGGCAATCCAAGACGATGTCCACACCTTCCGCAGAGATTCTAAATGATGAGAAGACAAAGCAAAATACTGTAACCTTCCAGCCATCAAACTGTGGGCCCTATCCCTTCCCGTGTCATATCATTTCATTCCCAAAATCAGAAACAGTGAGTGTCCAGGGAGGCAGGTTTGTCCTCTAACTACCAGTGTACCCTGACTTACCACGGGTGACATCCCGATGAGTAATTTGAAAACATCCTGGATTGAAAATGTATTAATCCACCTAACTTACTGAACATCACAGCTCAGCAACACAATCCTGTACACAACTACACACACTCGAGATATCAGTGGTTTATCCTCATGATCAGCTGGCTGATGGGGAACTGAGATTTGCTCTTCTTGCCCAGAATTGTGAATGAGGCATATTGCTAGCCCCATAAAAGACTAAAACTCAAAATCTGAAGTATGAGTTCTGCTAAATGCATATTGCTTTTGCACCAACTTAATTCAGGAAGCCCTAAGTCCAACCGTTGTAAGACAGAGACTTTCTATATAAGAATTTCCCAAAGCTGGAGGCAGCTAAGATCCTAGCTGGTATCTGATCCCAGGAACCAGTCTGGCGTAGATAGATGCACAAGGACCCTGGAGACAGAGGGCCTGAGTTTGTACCCTGATGCCTCACTCAACTGCTCTGAGTCTTGGCTTTCTCCATTGTAAAGTGGAGCCGATATGTTTGTCTGTGGTAAGAAGAGAATGCTCCTGCCAGGGTCTCCAGAGAACAGTCATTTGGGGAATCAGCTGACAATTCCTATTTGTGAAACAAGAGGGATCTTCCAGGCTCTGTCCAAGGTGCTGAGATAGTCAGGCCCCAAATCAACACGATCCCTGTATCATGGAGCTATGGTCTGGCAGGGAGGCACACTGATCTAACATCTAAGCTTCTCTTCATCTAGCTTCAAGGTCCAGTCTAAAGTTGATGCACAGAAGAAAAGGGTTAAATAAACAGAGTCTTCCTTTAATGATGGAAGGTTGTACAGTACAGAGAACACACATTTGAGCTCCACTGGGCAGACAAAACATTGGCCGACCTCAACTCAATTCTTTATACCTCCATTGAGTCCCTCGCTGAATGCACTGAACAAACATTTACTGGGTTTCTGCTGCTAGACGATATTTTACAGGAGGAGCCATAGAACAGGAGTTTGTAGAGGAGACATCCTGCCCACAGAGAGCCCTGCTGTGGCCAGCTCTGCCCTGTTCAGACAGGGGTGATAGTTCTTCAAGTCCGTGAACATGCAGAATCATCTTGTCTTAGCAAATATCTTCATTTTTCTACCCCTCCTCAACCCCAGCAAAATCCAGGTGCTGTGGGACACAGGTCCTGTTTCCACAGGGTCACTAACTAGGAAACTGCACCCACATCTCTTAGGTTCAGACACTGATTTGGCTGCCCCAGGCTCCATGGCAGCTGAGTCCTGATGTGCTTATGTCTTTCAAAAGCCATTGAGTCATTTCTAAAATCCATTACCAGGGACTGAGAGCTCAGCTTAGCTTCTGGCCTCGCAGAACGCTTACACGCCCAGGTGTGTCCTGAAGCCTCACCTGAGAGGTCAGAGCTGGTGATGAAGTTGTCACCTTGCAGGACAGGCTGGGGATGATTTCCTGACTCCTTTATTCTGTCTGGCTCTGGTTTCTGCCAAGTCTGCTGACTCCCGAGGGAGTGGGATTCTGCTCTGCTTCTCCCAGCCCACCCTCCTGGCAGCTGACCTCCATTTCCCCAGACTCTCCCCTTGCCTGGAGGACACCCTGCCCATGACCAGGAGCGGCCTCACGAAGGTTAGGCCCAGCACCCTGATGGGTCCGTCCAGCCCCTCCTGCCCACTTCCGCTCTGATGCGCCTCACATGTGTACCCCACTTGCTGCTCCATTTTCCCCACAAACTGCCACGCACGCCTCCTTGTATTAGCCGCCCCCTCCTGTCCGCCTGTCCTATCCTCCAGACTGCTTCTGCAGAAACACAGGGGTGCTCACAGCACTGAGGGGCCTATAAACTCCAACCTACCTCGCCATCTTCACCTCCCACTAACTGCCCATGGAGTTTTGGCCTTCCAACTCTTCCCTAGGACTTTTCTACCTCAGGGCCTTTGCATGTGTTGTAATGTCTTCCTGGAGCACCTTTGCCCAGCTGGCTCCTTCTCATCCATCAGGTCTCACTCCCACCTAACCTTCCCAGAGGAGTAACCAGCCACCTCATCCACCTCGCCAGGAGCAGCAGCAGGCCTGCTCCCCCTTAAATGATCTTTGCTTTACTTCCCTTCATGTACCAGTGTCTACACTGGAGGACTTTTTAGTTACCATTATGGGCTGTATTTATTTTGCTTATTTGCTTACTTACTAACTGACTTTTCCACTAAAACATAAGCCCATAATTCAGGGACTATGTTTGTGTCAGTTATTGTTATATCCAGTATTATTGCCATAGTGCTTTTTTCCTGGTGGACATGCACTGATCCCCAACAAATCTTTCTTGATTAAATGGATGCATAAAAAGAGGAAAAAAACACTTTAAGACTGGCATCCTCTCTGTGTACACATGTATGTTGGAAAGGGAGTGTGCATTTCAGAGCTATTTCATCATTGGTCCTCACGGCAACCCTATGAGGCTGGAATCCGCGCTTCACTTTTCTGATGCAGAAACTGAGGCTCACAGATAGAGCCACCTTGCCCAAGCTTATGTAACTCGTGCAGATGGAATGGAATCCTAGGTATAGTTTAACTCCAAGACTGAGGGCCTTTTCACCATTCAGAATTGAAGAGTTAATAAACCTTGAAGCCTCTGCACTGAAGGCAGTATCTCCTTCACAGGCAGCTCTGGGGAGCAGTCTATTGAGCGTACTCTTTGCAAGATCCAGCATTAAATTTTGTCTGAAATATGTGTATATCCAGAGTCGAGCCATATTATTCTAACATCCCGGTTAAACCACTTGTAGTTTCCAGAGATCTCTCCTCCAGCCAGATTATAGGAGAGGCAAGGTTACGGTCAATGCATTTGCCCGAGATTCTCAGCCGCTGACAACCATTTGCTGAGTGCTTGCTTCTTGCTCAAGTTCACCCTAACCCAGGAGTTTGGGTGCTGGGGGAGGGCTGGGGTTTGTCTGTCCACCTCCCCAGCCCTCTTGTTTGGATGCCGAGTCATCGCCATAATAGTACTAAGAGGTGGGACTCTGGCAGGCGCTTAGGCCACGAGGATCTGCTCACTCAGATGAATGGATCAACACTGGGGGGTTATTATCACCGAGTGGGTTCTCTTAAAAGGCTGGGCCCAGCTCCCTCTTGGTCCCTGTCCTGCTGTGCTTCTCTTCTACCATAAGGGTTCCTCCCTCGGGAGGATGCAGTGTTCACAAAGCACTTGTAAGCAAAGATCGGGTCCTTGTCAGAAACCAAACCTGCTGATGTCTTGATCTTGGTTGTCAGGCTCCAGAATTCTGAGCAAAAGATCTCTAATCCCACTATGTCACCCAGTCTGTGGCATCCTATTATAGCAGCAAAAATATTAAGACAGGGAGACAGGGGTGACAGCAGACACAGAGACCATTGCTCCAGTACAGCGGCCCATGAGCTTGGGAAGGTGACATTGTGTGTGATGTTGACAGGTGAGCAAGAATTGGCCAAGGGACTACGCGAAGTCATTTCTCAGAGAAGAGAATAACAGTGTGGCCCAGGGGCTGGGCCAAGGCTTTGGAACACCCACCCTGGCTAGGAGGAGTCCTGGCCCCCGTGGACTGGCTCCCATGGCCAACAGCTGCCACGAAGGTGGGCAGATAGGGGCCGAGGGCTTAAGGGCAGTGTAGTACTGGGGTTTGGATTGTGAATTTTGTCTCAGCCCGAAGCATTTAGTTCTGCCACTTAACTTGCTGCCTGACCTCAGGGGAGTTAAAGTCTGTGCCTAGATTTCCTCCTTTGTGAAAGGGGACCATGGTGAGGGCCACCTGGGGAAGTGTGTATGAATGGATGCAGGGGGAGTACAGAGCAGCTCATGATAATCACCAGGTCCATCGGCAGCTTTTACGACCTTCTGTCAGAATGGCCCAATTTAAGAGGATCTTTTATTTGGCAAAAGGGATAGAAAAGAAAGAGTATGCAAAACCTTAACAAACCAACCATTGACCCAAACAGCCTTTAGGGTGGGTGGAGGCCTCTAAACCCAGAAACCAACTGAGCCAAGCTGGAGACTCTTGTCTGTCCTGGGCAGCACATTTCACACCCAGCAGCACCCGTCAGGTCAGGCACAGGGCTGAGAAGTCCCCAGGCATACTGCACTCCTGCCTCGTGGAAGCCTTTGACTTCCGATGAAAGAAGAATCAGCAGTGACTTATCCGGGGCTCAAGGCAGAGAACTCGAGGGAGGCCCTGGGTGGATGTGTTCACCCCTAGAAACCAGGGGGAGCCACGGAACCAGAGAAGGTCTTCAGCCCGGGGACCACCCCTGTCACCACTAGGCATGTGGGCTCCTGGGGCTGCTCTACTATGGTCCCATGGAAAAGACTGGGACCCCCCGTGTGTTCAGGCACCCGACCCTCCCTTTTCTACACTGAGCCACAGGGACTGCACATGGCAGAGGGTCAGGGAAGCCCCTTCTCCTCCCTCCAGCTGTCACTGCACCTTCTTGAGAGTCTGGGCTGGAGAGAAGCTGGGAGAGGCTAGGCAGAGGCAGACTTCACTGCCGTGGTCTGGAGGATGAGGATGTGGGCATTTCTGTCCACCTGTCTGGCAGCCACTGCTCCTTTTGCAGGTGGAAATGCTCTTTCAGGTCAGAGTTGCAAAGTTAAAAAGTGCCCCCTCCCCTTTCCATCAGGATGAGCCTGAAAATGGATTCTATGGAGGGGACAGCTTGTCAGAGGCTTGAGGCGTCCTTATGCCCCATTTCCAGGTGTTCACATCACCTGTGTAGGTGTAATAAGAGCAGGGCAGGGGGCAGAGACAAGGGCAGTGGCTTCTGCTCTGCTTTCCCCTGCTGGCATCAACATCTATGGATTTAAAACCAAAGAGCCTGGCCCAGG